TGAAGTGCCGGTACGCATAGTGTTGATAATGGACCTATCAACACCCCATTGGACGCTCTATATGCGGGTAAGAATAGAGCCGGCCGTTCGTGCCGGCGGCCTCCGCACCGGGCGCAACAGGAAGACGCGGCATACGACCATCTCCAGTGACCTTGCACAACGCCTCGGCCGCCACCGCCGAGCATAGCGCAGGGTTTGCCGACGCACTTCGACGATGCGTTGCTCGAGGCGTTCCCGGGCGAGACCCGAAGACGTTGGGGACGGCGCTGGCCAGCTGGAAGCGGATGGCCCTCGTCACGCTCTCGCACGTGCTGGTCTGGCACCTGCCGCGGTGCACCGTCGGGCTGTTCATCGCCAGCGATCCTGCGATCACCGGGCACGACGGTCAAGGATCTGGCCGTGCTCGCCCGGTTTGCTGCTCGACCAGCCTGAACTGGGCGGGAACGCCGGGAAGCTCGAGGAGGCCGCGGGCTGGGAGCGCCGCCGCCAGCCCCGCCTTCGCGCTGCTGATCCCATGCGTTCACGACGGCCGCGTGCGCAAGTCGCTGCAGGACGACTATCCGACGATGGGGATCCTGCTCGCCGACGAGGATCTGGTGGAGCTGCGCCGATACGTTCAGCGCAACAGCCAATGATCAGGTTCACCCACAATGGCCGGCCGTTTGATGCCAGCAGGTTCGCCGCTGACATCGAAGCCAAAACGTCGCGCTCGGCATGCAGGCGCTCGAGGAGAAGGCGAGGGGAGCGGCCGCCTGATCGTCGATCCTGAGACCGGCCGCCGCCGCCGACGTCTTCGTCGATCGGCTGTCGGGCAATCGCGGCGATCCGCACCACCAGCTCGCCGGCTTTCGCGCAGCTTCTCGAAGAGCGTCTGGGTGTCGACCGTGAGATGTTCAGGTCAGCGAATGCGCCGACGGCGTCCCGCACCCCCAAAGTCTATCTGGCGCATGCGAGCGAGGACAAGGATCGGGTGCGTCGATCGCAAAGTATCTGATGGCGAACGGCGTCGACGTCTGGTTCGACGAGTGGGAGATCGAGCCCGGCGACGGCCTTCGCCAGAAGATGGAGAGAACCTCAGCGCCATGACCCATTTCGTCGTGGTGTTGACCGAAACGTCGATCGCCGCTTCCCCGTGGCCAAGGAAGATCGACGTCGCCTCGTCCAGCAGGTCGGTGGCAAGAGCCGGTTCGTGCCGCTCGTCGTCGATCTCGATCCCGCAAAGCTGTCGCCCTTCCTGCAGGGCGATGCTGTTCCGCCCAGATCGATCCTGCAAGCGAGAGCGGACCTCAAGGGCTGGTGGACCGCCTGCACGGCGTGAGCTGCAAGCCGGCGCTCGGCGCCGCGCCCCGCTACGTCCAGACGGCGCCAGGCGGGCTGGAGGCTGGTCGCCGGCGGCGGTCGCGGTCTGGCGGCACGTCGTCGAGACCAGCGCGCATGCGCTGGGCCGTCCGGCCGTGGTGACCTCGAGGACCTCGGCCGAGCCGACATCGCGGCGGATGATCTCAGGATCGCGCTGCTCGATCTGAAGGACGGCGGTTACCTGCGCGAGTTGAACGTGAGCGGGCACACTATGCTCCACAGCCGGCGCTGTTCGTGGACTTTTGACGGCGGCGTTCATGCCGTTCACAGCCCAGCGAGGGGATGGACAGACCTTTGGCGAACAAAGGATGGTGACGGGCGAGGAGTGGGCCGCGCGACACCAGCGGCTTGCCGAAGCGCTCGGATGGGAAACCGCGCCGGATCAACAGCGCCATCTGCTATCTCGAGCGGGTAAAGGGCGATCAAATCCCGGCATGCGCTGGCCTCGGCTCCGGCGAGCCGTGCAGCGCAGCGCACAGACGAGAGGCTGCGCTTCGCGCGCAACCATGCATGAACCCTGCACTCCACCGTGCCGAAGCGGCCCCGATCAGCGAGACCGTCACCCAGGTCGAGGCGCTGGCGCCGGCCGCCGGCTCGCCGATCCGCAGCTCGTCGCCGCGGCCGCGCGGGCTCGGTCGACGAACACGATCCGCGGGCTTCCTGATCTGGCGATCTGGGACCAATGGTGTCGGCGGTGCGGACTTGCGACAGCGCGGGGCCGATGCGGAGGCGGTCGCTTCATCTGCGCGCCCGGCGGGTCGAGGGATCTGCGAAAATCCCTTGAAGCAACGGGCGCCGGCGACGATCGAGCGCTGTCTGGTGAACATCGGCTGGCCTACCGTACGGCCGGGCCTGATGATCCGACAGCGGTACCGCTGGTGCGGCCGAGCCCGCGCGGGCTTGCGCAACGATACTGGGCACGCGCCAGCGCCGTGCGCGCGGCATCCGGTTCAAGGGTGAGGTGAGCGAATTGACGATCCGGCTACCGGCATCTGCTCCGGCGCATCTGCTCAAGGCCTCGCCGCGACATTTCGGTGCGCGACTGCGCGCTGCTGCGCGTCGCCTATGACAGCGGGCCGGCGCCTGAGCGCCGGTGGCGATCGTCTGTGACGCGGTCGAAGGCCTGATCCCGACGGCTCGGGAACCCTGTTTATTGCGACCAGCAAGACTCGACCGCGAGCGTGCTGGCGCTATCGCCTATCTTCGCCCGCGACGATGCAGGCGATCGACGAGCGGAAGCGGGCCGGGGGATCGCGGCGGGCCGCTCTTCCCGGCGTGTCGAGACCTATTTGACGGCCGGTGCGGTCGGTGGAGAGGGGCCCCTGCACCCGAACACGATCACATTGATTTATCGCCGGCTGATCCGCGCCGCTTTCGAGAAGAAGCAAGCCTGGAGGAAATGGAGCGAAGGGAGCCTGGAGCGCTGGGTGAAAGCGTCGAGCCACTGGATCAGGGCTGCGTGGCGATCACCTCGCCGCCGGCGAGAGCCTGCCGGCGACTCATGCAGGCCTATCGCTGGCGGGACCCCAAGACGGTCATGCGCTACGGTGCGCGCCTGCGGCCAAGAGCGGGCGTCGAGGTTTCGCGCGGCGCTTTCAGGAGAGCCGTTGAGCGATGGTCAGGATCAGTGTGACCGAACCATCGAAGCGGGCGCGCCGGCGGGTTCTTGACCTCGTCACGGTCGCGCAACTTCGCCGAGGGCGGCCTGCAGGAAGGGCAAGACCTCGATTTCAAGCGTGAGGTGAACATCAACAAGCCGGAGGCCAAGTCCGGCTGCTCGACGATGTCGTAGCCTTTCTGAACCGGGGCGCAGCCCGCATCATCGTGGGCGTCGAGGAAAAGGGCGGCCCTTGACGGCTTCGGCCGCTCGCGGGCGATCCGGACAAGACCGCGCTGCGGCTGCAGACTCTCATTCAGGGATGGCATCGCCCGTTCCCCGATGTACGGCCGTGCCCCTGCACCTCCAGACTGCCCTTAACTCATCCCCAGATCCGCCAGCGCGCCGTTCATCGAACCAAACTCTCAGGCGGGTAACGGTCAGGTCAGGCGCGCACCGCCGATCCGTCCGAGCGCTGCCGCAACCGGTTCGTCGATGGACCACGGATGAGCCGTCCGAGGAGCTGACTGCGGCTGAGGGCTACGAAAGTCGCTGCGAGCGGACGCTTGGTGCCCGCCGTGCGCCGGATCGGCATCCTGCCGCAGGAGCATTTTTGACCATCAGCGCCAAGCGTTCGAGCAGGGCGATTTCTCTATCTGACACCCGGGTCCGGTGTTCCACGAAATATCTCTGATCCTTGGTTCAAGGCCATGGAGGATGGCCATGAACTCTATTCGAAGGACCCGGGTCGCAGGGGCATTGAGCGCCTGTTCATCCGCGACGATTGGTCTGTCCATGCCCATGCCGCGTTCGCCATCCAGCAGCTGAGCGGGGAGGGAGGCTGGGCCTGCACGAGTTCAATGAGGCGGTGAAGTGCCATTCGGCAGCGCTTCGACGTTTTTGGCGAACAGGGGATCGAGGGGCCCTTCTGCTATGACCTTGGCGCTCCTGATGGATGAAAAGCGAGCAGTTTGAGTTCGGGTTCCTGGATGGCCTCAATTGTCCGAACGCCCGCCCCCGCTCGTGCAGATGTCGATGATAGCGAGCTGATTGCCCACTTCTCCGGCGGTGAGGCAGGCGACCGTTTTTGGCTGATTGATCGACTTGGTATGAAGCGGGCTTCATCTCAGGGCGCGCGCGCTTCAGCAAGACAGAGCCGCCTGGCCTAAGAACCCGACCAAAATTAGGTTGGAGCGATTTCAGCAGCCAGATTCACTGGCTTTGGGGGCTGACCTGAGAGCACATGGGTTGGACCGAAACTGCTCGTCGCGAGAGCATGACAGGCGTAGGTTGCGGTTAAGCGACTGCACCGATGCGGAATGGGCGATCATTGCGCCGCTGCTGGCTCGAACGACGAAGGGCTTGCCCGATGCCTGCACCGGCATCGGATCTGTGGAACGCGATCCAGTACCTTGCCGCGACGGGATGCCAGTGGGCGCAACTGCTCCGGATTTTCCCCCGTTCACGACCGTGCAGTACCATTTCTACCGGATGCGCGACAGCGGCCTGCTCGATGCGATCAACGCGGTGCTGGTAGCCGGTACGGATTGCCGAAGGGCGCGAGGCAGAACCGACTGCGGGCATCATCGACCAGCCAATTGGTCCGACCACCGAAGCGGGTGGCCGCGCCCATGATGCCGGCAAGAAGATCAGGGCCGCAAGCGCCTATCGCGACCGACACGGCCGGCAAACCTCCTCGACGGACTGGTGCTCTCGCTGACATCCAGACCGCGACGGCACCGGACCTCATCGAACGCTGTCGCGACGCTATCCGTCCCTGAGCCGTTTTCGCCGATGGCGGCTATGCCGGGCAAAACTGGCCGCCGCCATCGCGCACATCGACCACCTCGCCATCGAGACGTCCGGCGTTCCGATGCCCACCGCTTCGTCGTCTGCCCCGGCGCGCTGGGTCGTCAGCGCACCATCACGCGGCTCAACCGATGTCGGCGTCTCGCCAAAGATGGGAGGCGTCCGTCGCGCCTCCGAAGCCCTCCGCTCATCATCGTTCCATCAGGCGCATGACGCCGTATCGCAAAACTCAATTATGGTCGGGCTCTCAAGATCAGAAATCGCCCGCCTGAGCCTGAGATCTCTTCTCCGGGTCCTTCATCCGCTGGCCCGGCCGGTCTTCAGACCGCCATACTCCCACTGCGCCAGCGATAATAGGTTTGCTCGGTAACCGCGATCCGCCGACACGCATCCGCTGTCGTCCCGCCCTGCGCCAACACGATCTCAGCTTCCGCAGCACCGATGATCTCTTCCGGCTTGCAGCCTCTTACCATTTCAAAACCTTCATGAGATCCAAAATAACAGAGACGGGACCACCCGAAGCGGGCAGATCATCATCGATATCCAGCGTCACCGCCGCCGGCGCGGCAGGGTAACTGGCGCAGTGAATGTCGATCATCGCGGACATCATCCCGCCAACTCGCGTGTGGTCGGCGCATTTCCCACCGGCTCATCGCGTTGGCTGGCCAGCCCTGCGCCCGATCCCGGCAGCTTGCCCAGCGCCGTGCAAGCCCGGATCGTCACGCAGAGCGTCGAGATCATCGGCGTCTCGGCTGCACGCGACGCGGAACACGCGGGCACGCAGTATGTCATCAAGGTGATGGATCACCCGCAGGATCGCGCGGATCGGCAATGCAGCCGCAAGCCGCCGGCAAGCCCCATCGCGCGCTCGGCCCAGCAGCAGCAGAACACCGCTATCCGGAGGTGAGCTGACCTCCGTCGAACGCGGCTGTGATCTTCTTGCGCCTGATCGCTGAAACGAAAATCCCGGCGCGCTATCATCCCTCCCTGGCGGGTGTGGTCTGTGGCATAAATTGCCTCGCCGCAGGAAATGGCCTCCAGACACCCATTTTCCTTGCATCAAAGCAAATCGCTTAAACCACTCCCGCCAACCTTCTGACCGAACCGATGAATAGCTGGCACGATTCCACGAGGATCCGCTTACGGCCAAGCCCGCCCATTCACATACCGCACCAGAAAGCCAGACATGACCCAGCGCGCTAAGCCTGTTTTCCTCATGTGACGCTACGGCCCGACCCGTCGCGTACCGCCGTGCTGTTTGGAGCCCGGCTATCTGCGCGAGGTTTCGACGCTGGCACGACCCGCACCTGGTGAAAAACGGTCAATCTGATCCCGTCGTTCGGCGAGGCGGAGCCGACCTGTCAGCTGGAGGGCGTCACCGCGTCCTCGATGAGAACCACCGCGACGTCGACACGATGCTGCGGCGGCGTTTTGACGAGGTCGCCGATCACTTCTCCGACGGCGCGATCGCTGCGACGATGCGCGACGCCGACTGATCGGCCTATTTCAGTCAGGAATACGCCTGCCGAGAGAAGCGGCGTTGTTCAACCCAGCGCCGTGCTGCATCCCGACCAAAGCGACGTTGGCGATGGCGAGGTTCGGTTATCCTCTCGCCGCGGACGGGATCGGCGAGGCCATCTGTCTTCAGTTACCTTCCGTACGGGCGGTGGAAGCCGGGCGGCACGCTGGTTGTGGACGATCCCAGCTCGGTGTCGATGCAGCCCATTATCGAGCGTGCCGATACAGACGACCTCGCCCGGCTTTTCGGTATGACGGCAGCGAGACCTTGTCGGAAACTGTGCTGTTTCCCGTGTCATGCAACGCCGAGGGATCGAGGATCTCAGGCTGGTCCGCTTTGACGAAGGCGACGCGGGCATTCGCCACTATGGTACATACACTGCGTTCAGCGGCGCGGAGGCGCGATCGGGAGCTACTGACCACGACCGACTTCAGAACGTTCCGGATGCGCGCGCTTACCGGCGATGCCCTCATTGGGCAAGGGGATGGCGCTTTTCCCCGTCGGATCGATGGCCTGTTCGCGCGATGCTCGGTCGCCGTGACAACAAGAACATCTGGCTACTGAGATCGACGACATCCTCCACTGGGGCGGTGGCGCCAAGCTGATCGAGCCGCGGTATCCGTGGAGTTTGTCCAGATGGGCAATTGCGGCTCACCGATCGAGGTGGACGAGGGCTGGCCTGTCTTGACGCACGGGGCTGGCACGGTGCGCAACTACTGCATCGGCGCCTGCCTGCTCGACAAAACGACCCCCTCGAAGCTTTTGGCGCGGACGCCTCGCCCGGTTCTGGCTCCCTTCCCCAAACAGCGCGACGGCTATGTTCCTAATGTCGTCTACAGCTGCGGCGCGCTCGTCGTCGGCCGCGATCTACTGCCCCCTACGCAGTGGCGGGACAGCTTCACCGCGTTCGCGACCACGACGGTCGACGATCTGCTCGCAGTGATGGAGTGATTGGGCGGCGTGCCGCGCGGTTTCACCGCCGATTGCGTATTTAATAATATGAGCGGTTCTGGTGCGCCCGGTCAGTCGGTGGTTCCGCCAGCGCCCGGATTCAGCAGCGTTTGGAGGCGGTGCATGCGCCTTGCAGCCTTGGCGACTATCGTGATCCAGCCCGCGATGGAGGCTGCATGTCAACAATGCAGATTCTGAATTGGCGCACTTCGACTGCGGCACTCGGCGGGTGCGCTGACCTGTCGAACCGCCCAGCCGTAACATCGCCCATTTCGCAGTGCCGTAATACGCCGGAGCTGCAGCAGCCCTTGCCGGACGCGCGCTCCAGCCACGCCCCGGTCCTGGGGGACCTGGTACCCAGCCGCGCAAAATGTGCAAGCTTGCATGATCGCGGTGCCCGCCCAAAATTTGGCATATAATGCGCGCTATCGGGGGGGGGCATACGATCCCCATTATGGCTATCCCGGCTATGGGTCGCCTCTTCTATGGTTGATTGGGATCGGCTTCGGACTTCACGGCGGTGGTTATGGACACGGTGGCAGCTTTCGGCCATCGCGGCGGCTTCGGTCAGCGGTGGGGGCGGCGGTCATGGCGGCCACTGACGCGCCGATCTGTTCGAGCTTGTTCGTACGGAAGCGTAGCTGCGCGACACCATCCGACTTTGTTGATGACGACTGTCGGGCGTATTCGGACAGGAATCATCCCACGCGACACCCGGCGTGTGGACGAACGCCGCGCACGCAATGTGAATAGAGCGCGCTAGAGCCGGCTTGAGAATGGTTTATGCGTACAGCAGCCGACACGTCGACGTCGCAGGAAAACGTGGATTGCATCATCATCGGCGGTGGGGCCCCGCCGACTGACGGCCGCGACCCATCTTCGGCGCTTTCTACGCAACTGTGTCGTCATCGACGCGGGAGCGGGGCGTGAGTTCGATCCGCGGTCACACACAATGCCGGGCTTTCCAGACGGGATTGGTGGTGCTGATCTGCTATCGCGGATGAAACGGCAATTGGCGGCTTACGGCGCGACGATCGAGCAGGGCAAGGTGGTTCGCCCGCGGTCGTCGAGGATGTCGGGTCTCGTCGCGACGGAAACGACAAGCTGGCAAGGCCGTACCGTGATCTTGGCGACCGGCGTCCGAAATCACCGGCCTTCACGCCCTCAGGCGTCGCACGATGCTGCATTGGCGCGGGCCTGATCCGCTATTGCCCGGTGTGCGACGCTTACGGTGCCAAGGGCGCCAATATCGCTGTGCTGGGCTGTGACGATCATGGTGCTGCCGAGGCCGAGTTCCTCCGCCCCTATGGCGCGCGGGTGATGCTGCTGGCGCAGCGTCGCCCGGAACTCTCCGGCTTGATGAGGCGCGGGCTTATTTAGGGCTCGTGTCGACGTCATCAAGGGAAGCGGTGAACCAGATATCGATCGAAGGCGATCAGATCGCGGTCTTGACTGGCAGATGGGCGTCGCTTCGTTTGATACCCTGTATCCGGCATTTTGGCTCCTCGCCGCATACGCAACTCGTCGCCGGGATCGGCGTGAAGTCTGGCGAAGGCGGCTGTGTTGTCACCGACGCCCATCAACAGACCTCGGTTAGCGGTTTGTACGCGGCTGGCGACATGTCGTCGAAAGTCTCGATCAGATCAGCGTTGTACTGGTCAGGCCGCGCAGGCAGCGACGGCGATTCACAACTCGCCCGCGCCAGAGAGGCCAAGAAGCCGGTTGAGCATCGACCGAAAATAATGATAGTGCTTCGCATCCTCTGATCCGGTTAGTCTGATGCGAACCTAAACTGGCTATCCATCGGTTCTGGTCAGAAGGGCTGGCAAGAAGTCGGGTTGATTGCTTTGGTGAAAAATGGGTGTTCAGGGCCATTCCTGCAGCGAGGCACTATGCCACGGACCACCTGCCGGAGCGATGATAGCGCGCCGATTTCGTTTGCCGATCGGGCGCAAGAAGATCACAGCCGCGTTCGACGGAGGTCGGCTCACCGGATGGCGGTGCTCTGTTGCTGGTACAGCCGGAAGCGCGCGCGATGGGGCTGCCGGCGGCTTGCGGCTTGGTATTGCCGACCGCGCGATCCTGCGCGGGTGATCCATCGCCTTGATGACATACTGCGCCCGCGTGTTCGCGATCGTGCGGCTACGAGGACGCCGATGATCTCGACGCTCTGCGTGACGATCCGCTTCCGCTCCGGCGCTGGGCAAGCTGCCGGATCGGGCGCGGCTGGCCAGCCAACCAACGATGAGCCGGTGGGAAAATGTGCCACCATACGCGAGTTGGCCAGATGATGGTCCATGATCGACATTTACGCGCCAGTTACCCCGCCGCGTTGGCGGCGGTGCGACGCCGGATATCGATGACACCGTGATGCTGTTCCGGCGCATACGCAGCTCTCCTTCCCTGAACGCATCATGGCGAGCGCCGCTTCCGCCGATCCATGCCTGATGACACTGCCACCGGCCGACTGGTGGCGATGCTACTGCGCACCGGGCAAGACACACGTCGGGCGCCGAAGCTGCCGGCCACATCCGGCGCCGGTGCGCCATCTGCGCCGGCACTGGCCCGAAACGCACATCACCATCCGCGGCGCGACGGGCACCTGCGGCTGACCTGAGGTCATGGCCTTTTGCGAGCCGGCCGGCGTCGATTACGTGTTCGGCCTCCGCTAAACCAAACGCTGCGCCAGTGCGTGTTGATCCTGAACCGTCGCTGCTGCTGATGCGCCTGCGCGGTTAAGCGGGCTCAGCGCCACACCTCCGGTCCTGCGCACCATGCCGAGACCCGCCACGTAGGTGCTTGCACGTAGCGGCGTTTGCTTGCAAACAGATTTTTTGCTCGGATTATCTGACAACCGGCTCGGCGATCTGCCTGCGCCATCTGCCAATGTGCTCGACATCATCCTGCGCTGCTCGCAATCATAAAGGTCTGCTCACATCCCCTGCCAGCGAAACAGGGCGTCAGCGCGGCACCCTGGATGGAACCTTCCGCGATCCTCGGCGACATTGAGAGCATGACGGCGTAGCGATGCAAAACCGGGAAGCGACCAGCGTTCTTGTCGATTTCACTGCTGCATCCGGCGTCGAGCAACGCCTTGAAGTCGGGCATCACGTCGAACATGCCGCCGAGCAGATCGATATCGAGGCCCCGGTAAGGCCAGGGCGTTCGCATGGGCGTCGAGACGCCCATCGTTTCCAGCATTTCGGTCCCGGTCATCGCATCCTGTCCGCTTGCGGGGTTCCATCGCCCAGCACGACGCGCCGGCCCTGTTCGCGAAAACCTTCCTTTCTGACGACCTCGCGGGCGGGCCATGACGACAACGCATTTCAGTGGCCTGCCGTTTGTCAGAACTGTTCTGGAAACCTGCTTCGCAAAAAGCGCTTGCCGGCTACGGGTTTGAGAGCCATTGGCACGAGCGTGAGCACAAAACCCTGTTTGCAAGCAGCGCTGCCGGGCGATGGCGATACACCGGCAGATATTCCGAGCAGGACGCCCCTCGCCATGGCAGAAAGCGGGCAGAAATCGCTGTTTGCGAGCACACGCCGCTATGATTGCAAGCGCCTACAGGTAGGTAATGGTCGTAAATGGCGTGGGCTGAAAAAGGCAGAGGACAAGGTGGTTGTAGAACTGGTGTTCAGATCGCCGAGGCGGTGCTGCGCGCCGTAGGCGAAATGGTGAGGCACCGTGGCCTGCTCGCGATTCCCACCTTAGCTGTTTGCGCCGATGGGGACGGCCAACTGCACCGGCAGGCAGAAGCAAAGAGTTGCGCCGTTTCAAGTCGCGAAGAAGGGGACCGGTCAGCGCTGCTCGCTGTTCGGTTCATGGACCGTGATTACAGCATTCCAGAGAGCGAATTTCGGTCGATGCAGATCGTCACGATCATCCAGCAGCGCCCATCAACCTTCAGAAGGAATCCTCCGAACGCGCCTTGAGCATTCCGGTGCGCGCAGTGCCTTGATTTGCCAACAAGGGGAAAACCAATGTCGAAACCAACTATCGCTGAAATCGATGTCGAGGCTCTTCTAACGAAGCAGCGGCATGACATGATGTTGGCTGGTGCCAACCTGCGACGGCTTGCCGGTTCTACGGCGACTATGTGCCGGTGGGGAAAGAAGGCCCGCTTGACGGGAAAGCTTCACACATGTGTCGCAACCGAGCGGTTCGAACCCGACGACGAGGACTGAGGCTTTCTGGGGCTTGGCGATCGGGCGCGCGTAAGCGATTCAACAGGGCAGGGAGGGGAGTTCCACCTCCCTGCGCAATAGATCAACCGTTCAGGCGATCCTGACAGCCTTTGCCGGGGTGAAGCGGAGCTTTGGCTGCGGCAATAGTGATGGTCGCGCCGGTGGAAGGATTACGGCCTTCACGCTCGGGAGTGTCCTCACCTTTGAACTTCCCGGAAGCCGTTGATAGCGATTTCTTTTCGCCCTGGCTGCCGCGTCGGTGATGGCGGCGAACACGGCATCGACCGCCTTGCGCGTCTGCCTCGTCGCTTGCTCGCCGCGAGGCGTCTGCCGTTCAAAGTTATTATTCATCGAAGTTCCTTTCTGCTAAAGTCGAGGCCTCAATAAGGCCGATTTTGCAAGAAGGCCAGCGAGCGCCGCTTCAACTGCCGCTGCTCGTGCGATCGCCTCATGGTCGATCCGCCTGCAGCGCGCCGCCGGCATAGCCTTACGATAGGCAGGCTGCTTCTGTGGAAAGCGCAGGCTATCGCAAAGGTTGGGAGCGCCCGGGTTGCCGCTGCGCGCACCCATCGAGGTGCCGCAGAAGCAAGGCCTCATGGCAAGTGTGCTGCCAGATCAGATCCGGTGCCCGCCTTGTTGGCCGCAGGAGCGATGCGGGCATCCCGGTCAGGGCTGATGCCCCAGCTTGTCATCATCACAGAAATGAAGCGCCCCTCGAATGCCCCGTGGCGCTTTTTCCGTTCACTGGCACGTTTGATCGCCAGTCCACAAGCGAGGAGGGTCTCACCGCCTGGCTGTGGCAGGGACGGCATCGAGATGCACGGCGAGCCGCTGCGTTTCGGCGAGCCGGGTCAGCAGCGCGACATAGCCCCTGTTCGCTTTCGCCCTCGCAGCCGACAAAGATACGGCGGCGCTGCGGGGGACGACCTTGCGCTTCTGGCGGCTCATCCGATCTGGGGAGGGCACCGTGGTGCCGCCAAGATATTTGCGGTATTAGCCCGTCACGTCGCACAGCCCGACGTCCTGGTGGTAGACCTCCGTCCTGCCGTCCGGCGACTTGCAAAACAGCACCTCCTTGATGAGTTCTTTCAAGGAGAGACGCGCAGACAGGTCATCCAGAGCTGCGCGTCGCGGGTTCCGGCTTGGGCAGAACCAGCGCAGGATTTTCGGGGAGGATCAACGGATGGATAGCCGTGTCCAGCTCGTCCATCACGGCAATTCCCCGGTTTCCAGTGCCCGAAGCAGGAAGGGGTAGGCGCAGAAACATCCTTGTACCATGGTTTTCGAGGACGAGCGGCATTGGACCGTCATGGCCCTCGTGCGTGAAAAAGCGCGACCGGCCCGTTAGCTGCTTTCACCCGCATGGTACGGATGCCCAGATCAATACGTTCGATTTTGGCTTGAGCGCCTCCCACTGACCGGGGTTCTCTGCATAGTGACGAACCATCTGCCTTTCGACACCGTCAGAGCGTTCAATCAGATATTTGACGATCGTGTTCGCCGCCTCCCCAAAGCTGGGTGGCGATCGATGCTTCAGCGGGCAAGTGGGTCGCGATCACGCTCGCATTGGGCGCAACACCTTTTTCCAGCGCTTGCCGAAACCCGGCAGCTTGAAACGCGCTGCCGCCACCATTTTACCTCAGCGTTTCGCTTCGAAAAGCCGCACCTTTCGACGTGCAGGCTCGGGGCCACTAATAGGAAGGCCTGACACGACCTGCTGCGCTGCGTCTGAACCGCCCAGCTCCAACGAATAGGTATAACGACAGGCTGGGGAGGTCTTCGTCCTCGGGTTCGCTAGTGACCCCAAACGACAGGCTCCGACGGGTCGGCGCTGATTGTCCTTCCACGCTGTTGAACCGCTCATAGGGAGGCGGCTGGTCGGCGAGAGTTGGAAACTTTCGCGCGCGAACGAAAGATAAACGATAGCGCTCGCAAAATGGTCGATTTGCCAGCTGCGTTCCGGACCGAAAATGGCCACGACCTTGGGCGCGCGATCAGACGCGCCCCGGCCAGATCGGGAGAGACGCCGGGTAAATCGGCGCGTTTGCCGCCACACGCAGGTCAACAACCTGCTTGTCGCGGATCGAGAAGAAGTTCTCAATTTCGTCTTCGAACAGCATAAGGGTTCCTCACGAGCCGTAGATATGAGGCTTTCATGGCCATTTCAACGTTTTTTCGTGAAACTCTCTCTGAATGATATTGATTCTTTGATAGCTGCCGCCGAGGCCTGCTTCTTCTCAGTCCGGCAGTGAACGCGCCCGGGCACGCCCAAGGTGCATGGGTCTCCTGCAGATGTCGGTGAAATAGAGCCGCTTATCCAGATTCTTGGTCGTTTCGCTTCTCGACGCGGTCTCGATCGCGGCGCGCCGTATGCCAGATCGCCGACTCTTCAAACGGAAGTCCATCGAACCCGCGCGCTGCGATAGCTCGCTCGAACAATGACGCCGTGGTCGATCATCGGCGCATGCAAGGAAGAGGGTGAGGGAGGCAAAAGGCCTTTGTCCGGGTCGTTGCCCGACATGAACCGGTCACGCCAGTGACCAGCGGCGGTCCGTCGGCGATAGCTTCTCTCTGCCTTTGTCCTGCGTCTCCTGCAACCAGCCTGAGGTCTGGATCGCCCCTCGCTCGCTGCCAGAAGCCATCTGCATCGGGGCCAGGTCGAGGAAGCGGCCAAGATCGAACGCTCGAGCGATGTCGCCGGCGAGCGGGCTTCCAACCGTGCGAACATCCGGTCGAGGAGCCGAAGCCACCGCCCTCTGTCGCCCACCGGGCGACGGAAGCCAGCGCGTGATCCGTGTTCGCATCTTCGAGAACCTGTTCGCAGTGCCGGGTCATCCGGACCGGTCGCCGTAAAAGGGCAGGCTCTCAAAGCTGTCCATCTTAGTCCAGCTGCTCTCTTTGTAATGGGGACAGAGCGTTGACTAGATTACTCGCGCCCTCTTCGGGCTGCTTCATCATCAGAGCGCGCAGCGCGGTCACGACTGGAAATTGTCGAACGCGAACGCATGTTCCGCGCCGCGCGAGCAGGGCATCGATGGCCGCGACAAGCGGGGCCGCGCCGTTCGGCCAGATTACATTGCCTCATTGGCGTTCAGCCATGAAACCTGTTTGCCAAAGCCGTCAGGAAACGACTGCTGCCGATTGCGTCCGGACGAACGCCTCGAAATGGTCGAGCGCGTCCTCATCGTCGGGCTCATCTTGAACTCGCGCGCCCACGCGACCGGATCGATGCGCGTGTCGAGGTCAGGCACCGGGTCGTCTGGCGGCCGCGATCAACACGAGCAACCCATTCGCCGCCTCATTGATTTCGGTGTCGGCAGCGCAGCTCACTGCTGTATCGACCGTGGCGCGAAGGAGGAGGGCTGGTTGCTGCGGCGAGCGATCAGGAAGAGCAGCGCCGGGTACACGCCGTCGGTGGCAAAGTCGGCAACAAGGTCTTCCGCGAGGCTGGAAGGCATTTCGCTAAGGTCGACGCTGGCAAGATAGGAAAATCCATGTTGACGGTGCTCACCAGCCAGCAAAGGCCGGATGGAGCTATAGTCCGCCTCCACAGGGGTGGCGAAGACTGCGACTTCGTCCGTAGAAACAGGGCCGGGGGGTCGTTCTGAAGATTGCGATCTGCTGCGCCGCTGTTTTCCCTGCCAGACGCGATATCCGGGCATGGAGCCAGTCGCTGTCTTTCCGGTGAGGAGCGAGGCTCCAGCATGGGGGCGACGGATCGCGCGAACATCTCGTGGGTCTCCGCATCGAGGAGCGGCCAGTATCGGCCGATCTCCTTGGCCAGCCGGATGAGCGTTTCTCTCGCCTTCACCTTCATTCGAAGCGACGCGTCTCGGCGCTGGCAAAGATCCGCCGGATCAAACCCGTTAACGCCTCGGCCCCAGCGCGCCAGCACAGGCATACTGTGCAAGGCATAGTCCGCTGAATCCCCGCCCCATAGCGCTCAGGAACACGGCGGACGCATCGGTGTCTTCGGCCGCGGCGACCGTAGAGTTCCCTGATCCTCTGGAGCCAGCGTGACGTTCGGATCGAATGCCAGCTCTTGAGCGGGATGAACCGCTCGAGAGGTTCGCTCCCCGTCCTGCCGCTCGCAACCTCCGGCCGGGCCACACCGTTTATCGACGGTGGCGCGTCTGAACCAGTGCGCCGCCCACGGCAGGCAGCTCAGCCCGCAGCTTGGTTGCATCCGGCGAGGCGAGGCCGTCGAGAAGAAGGCGGGCAACGTCGCGACCGACGCACGTCATCGCCGCGCTATCAATCAGTCGGCGCGCTAGCCCCAGAAGAGTAGCAGCCGTCTCTTCGCCGTCGACAGGATTGATCCGCAACACCCATCCCATTGCGTCAAACGGGCCAAGCGCCTCGCTGATGGCACGCGAGGCAGCCCAGCTCAAAATAGCAGGCAGAAAGGGCTGTCGCGGCAACATGGACAGAATGCCAAGCGCTCTCCCTGCCAAGCCGCTATAGTCGCGCTCGTTCCGCTCGGGCCTCAACTTTCTGCAGCGTCGTGCTGATTGCAGAGCCAAGGCCTCTCCACAGCCGACCAGCGTTGATGCCGCTCTTCCAGCGCCGTGGTGGTCACAGCGCGTCATCCCTGGTTGCTTCCGCTCTGCGATCCGGAGCCGGGGTGGCATCGACCCAGTAATAGCCGACGGCCTGACAGGCGGTTGGCTGCATCGCGGAAGACCGGATGTTGCGCGTCCGTGAATGCCGATGAAGATGTTCGTCACGAAGAGAGCTATTGTATCGTAGCCAGATCTGCTCGGCGAAATCTGGGAACTGCTCCGGCGCACCAGGATCAATCGGGTCAGCGTGGCAAAATCATGCCGACCGAAATTCTGCTGGAAGAACCAGTCATGGCAGCAAAACAGCATGAAGGTTTCACTGAAGCACTCTGGCGTACAAGAGAAGCGGTGACTGCCCAGCGCAGGATATCGACGCCCCGGTCGGTGCCGCGCAGCGTCTCCATGAACTGCGCCAGTCGATCCGCGCGTCCTGCGCCCTGCCCGGTCCAGATCGGCGATGAGCGCGAGGGCCAGCGCCAGAGGGCACACGATCCTTCTTCAAACGAAAGCGGTGCGCGCTCCTGTGCACACGGTCCACCCACTGCCTGAAATGATCTCGCTGAGTGCCGTTTGAAGGGCAGGCTCGGCGGTTCCACTTTCCGATCCGCGCTTCGATCATGTCCTTGCAGCGTCAGGTGCAATTGGCATCGGCGTCATCCTCGATGGCTGCGCAGGCCGGTTACCCTCCTGAGCGAGGAACTGATGGAAATCTTCAGAACTTCGGCGTGAGATTTGAACCATGGAGGTTAAGACGGTGCCAAATCCTCATTAGATCAGGCGCTCGATCGTAATGTCGCCGCTTGCCTGAAGATGTGTTCGCGCGCTGTTGGATGGCCAGCTGGCAATAGCGGGGATCGCCATCAGCTTGAGGAGCTTCGCTCAACCCGAGCGAGGAACGCGGTAGCGACAGCATTTCGTCGAGTTCGGTCTCCGTGGAAATCCTCGACCGTCACCGGCCATGCAGGGCAGGAGGTTGGCGAGGGACTTGAGGTCATCCTCCCAATATTCTTTCGGCAGGTCATGGCGATCAACATGACCCTTTCGGCCCACCAGCCTGTAATGGCTGTATGACCTTCTGCCAGTCGGTAAAATTGACCTCCCGGTTGAGGCCGTCGATCACCAGCAGAATGCGCGGCGCCTGAGCAGGTGCTCGGTCCAGAGCATCCTGCGCTCCCAGAAATCTTCGTCATGGCACCTCGAACACGCTGAGCGATCAGTCTGGCGAGGAAGCGGTGTGGGGCATGAGGGGCGGTGCGACAAGACCACGCGCAGGCACGACGATCGTGAGCGGAAGCGCATCGGGGACGCTGCCATTTTCTCCTGCCACCAAAGGGAAGCTCCGTTCTTGCCCACGCCCTCAGCGCCGAGACAGCAAGAGGGGAGGAGGGACGCATCGTCCACCATCTGCTCGAATGCGGCACTTGGGGCCGCGCGCGCGACCCGGATCGTGCCGGGCGCATCGAGACCGCCGTAGCATTGAAGCTGCGCGATCGCGACGCGATCATCCTCGAAGGCCTTTTGAGCCAGCGCGCACCGGCGACCCTTGTCGACGCATAGCCGACGTCGTCCGCCGGAACGGCTCGAAGACGCAGGCGCAATCTGCCACGAAGTCGTCGTCCGCCGCGATCGCAGCAAGATAACCGGTTATCGCTGGGCCTTCGCCAAGATGGGCTTTGACGGCGTTAGGGGCGGACGCAGCCAGCAGCGCGAGCGAACTCGGCCGATCCTCGCGCCCCGACGGGTCGAGGACCTCAACCTGTATGCCACGCTCGGCGCCGACTTCGCGAAATTTGAGAGGTCGGTCCGGTGATGGGTGGTGGTGGTCAGGATCCAGAGGTCCAACGCATCTATGTTGACCGCAGCGTCCGAAATCTGCGTTGGACCTCCAGCCACCGAAACGTTGCTATTGAACCGTATTTCTTGCCTTCAAAGCCGATCGCTAGGCCATTGGCTGGCGCGTCGTTCGCGCCATCCATTCCGTGCTGGTGTCCCGACTTCGCCAGCCGGAGCTCTGGCCCAGCAACTCCTCGAAATCGCGCACGAACCCTCAAACCCCTTTGTGCCGGTATCGGCAGATTGAACATCGCTGCCACAAAATGCCGTCGGATCCAGGGGCGGTCGGCGAAGGCGTACTCATATCGGCGAATGACCGTCACTTTCACTTTTGGCGGCGTCGCAATACCTTCTTCCGTGCCTGATCGGCGGTGTAGGCGGGAACGCCTTCCCGTTTGGCGAGGGGAAGGCAGAAACGATCTCCGCGACAGCCCTGCTTCTGCAGTCAGCGCGCGCAGCGCCAGCCCCCGTACGCCAGCGCCTCCAACAGCGGCTACAACCCGCATCGGCAAGGCACCGAGCATCTCCCGCTTCTTCAATCGGCGCCCTAACCGGACAAATGGCTAACGACCTCGGCCAGATTGAACGCACCGATCGCCGCATCCCGTCATCTCCAGCCACCTTCGCTCCCTCCGCGTTCTCCTTGGCAGCGGCACGGCAGACGCATCGAGGACGACCGCTCATTCAACCGCTCTCGGCGTGTCGGTCGGCGAGAAACGCTGTCACGGTCGCGTCTGGGGTTGCCCTTCGGTGTAGCGCTTGATGGCTGCGCCCGCGCCACCGCCTGCGAGACAGTGCGCAGAACGACGCCCGTTTCTGTTCCTCGACGATGACCGAGCCGCCATTCTCCAAGCCAAGCCGCTTACGAATGTCGATGGCAAACTCATGCGCCCGATGGGAGTTATGTTAACCTGGACCATTTCCACCACCATCACGTCTCGAATGACATCAATTACCTTTTCATGCCACAAATCTCGCTTGGATGCCAATCCATTCAGATCCGACATTGTCTCGAGGGTGGACCGTTCATGCAGCCAATGTCACTTATGTAGTAATTAGCGATAAGACGATTCCTGCTAAAAACATTCTGGCGTTTTGGGAGGGTTTGTCAGTTGTCCTGAAACGGTGGACGCACACGGCGAAAGCGTCGCCCATCAGTCCACTCCTGAAATGGTGGATATTCTCCCAAAAAGAGCGGACGCTTGCCGCTGGATCAGCCGAGGCGTCGTACCATACGAACCGCGGACCTGAAGACGGCGAGCGACGCTAATTGGGCAAAGCGCACCGCCGCGAGAAGATCATCCGCCCACTTGCTGCGCTGACCCGCATCCCGGGCAACGCAGCCGCCAGCCTTCGCTGGATAAGCTTGGGCTGGGTCGCGCCCGTTTTCATGAGCTTCTCCAGCTTTATCAGGCGTCGCCCGTTGCCGCTTCGCTGTTGCCGCGCCCGCGAGGGCGGGAGAGGGAGAGCGGCGGCTCTCATCTGCTGCCGAGCAGTTGATCGCCCGAGGCATCGCGGAGTGTTATCTCACCCTCGGAAGCCGAACGTGCAGGCGCTCGCCGCTGGCTCCGACATGAGGCGCAGAAGATCGGGCTGAAGGTGCCCAGCACCAAGGCAATCCAAGCACGATTGGACAGACTGCCTCCCCAGACCGTCACGGCCCGCAGGCAAGGGTCCAAAGCCGCCGCTGACAGAGTAAGCCGACGCGAGGCGTGTTGGATGCCAGCTACGCGCTGGAGCTCGTGCAATCGGATCGCATCGCTGGTCGACGTGATCGTCGTCGACGATCTGTATCGAAAGCCCATCGGTCGGCCGTGCTCACGCTGATGATCGATATCGCGAGCCGCACGGTACCGGGGTTCCACCTCGATATGCTTGCACCCTCGGCGTGGCTCGGTTAAATGTGCATGCGCTGTTGCCCTCCCCAAGACCTGCTGGTTGGCCAGCGCGGCATGGAGGCACCTTGGGACAATCAGGGTCTCATGGATCGGCTACACCTCGACAATGCGCGCGAGCACCGCTCGACGCTCTGGTACGGGGGCTGCCGTGCCCACGATCTCGCTCGAGTATCGTCCGGTTCGGCGTCCGCACTTCGGTGGCCATATCGAGCGGCTGATCGGGACAGTGATGGCGTTGTCATCTTCTGCCCGGCACGACGTTCTCCAACGTGGCGGGAGCGAGGCGAATACGACTCGAAGCCCAAGCATTCCTTGACGCTGGGCGAGTTGGAAGCTGGCTCGCCGCACAGATCGATGGGCCGTACCATGCAGAGCGACTTCGCAGCATCGGCATCCCGCCGGCGCTCGCACAGGCAAGCGATGGAACGGCAGGGAGCTGGCGCGCGGCTGCCGGTCGATCGCGCAGCTTCTCCGCTGGCTTCCTGCCTTGCGAACTACGCGGTGACCCGCACGGCATCGGGCTGTTCCCGCCACTGGGATGACCTTTTTATCCTGCTGGTACACGCGACCCGGGCAGGCCATGCCGATCGGGTGGGACCCGCAGCCTTTCTCGCATCTGGCTCGGCTCCGTGGCGAGCACCTCGGTGCCCTATCGTGACCTCCGGCGGCAGGCGACCACCCGCTGGGAACAGAAGGAGGCGGTTCGCACCCTGCGCGAGCGTGGTCAGCAAGCAGTCGACGGACGCTGATCTTCCGTGCGGTCGAGACACAGCGGCGATCGGCAGCGAGCCGCTCACAAGACGAAGGCCGCACGGCTCACGCTCCAGGAGGACAAGGGCAGCCTTGGCTGATGCACGGCGCGCCAGAAGCAGCGGTGCAAGCCCACCATTGAGAGGACAGAGCCAGCTCTGCCGGGTGCCTCAGGAACGGATGGGGCGGTGATCGGCAGGCGCTACCGTACGCCGTCGGGAGATGCCCAGATGAGCGATCTGTCGCATCTGTTGAGGACTACCGCGAGCGTGCGATGATGGGCCGACAAAGAGGTAATTGCACGGATCCGCATGGATCGTTGGCTCGGCTTCCCGGCGGAAACCGTGCGCAAGACCGGATGATGCGATGCTACGCTACCCGCCGCGCACGCGCGCATGCCGTGCCTCTGATCTACGGCCAGACCGGGATGGGGAAGTCCCGCATCGTCGAGCGCTTGAGGCGGAGAACCCGCGGGTTCAACGACACAACGGAAACGACGATCCTGGTCGGGCCGTTCAGCTGCCGCCACAGCCGACCGATGGCGAGTTCTGGGAGGTTCGACAGAAGCAGCGCCGGCTTTGCGGGGCGCGGCGACGTCCAGAGCCCGCCGGCAGCTGCCGCCGGATCATGGGGCAGGTGGGTGCTCGTGCTGATCCGGACGAGATCAACTACATGCTGGCCTGCACGCCACGCAGCAGCGTCTTCCTCAACACGCTTCGCTATCTGGCCAACGACCTGCGAATTCCGCTCGTCTGCCCGGCAACCACGAGGCGCGCGCGCGCTGCTCACGGATGCGGCACTGGCCGAGCGGTTCGACGCGTCGGCTGGTCCAGTCCGCAGAACGACGAGCCATTTCGCCTGCTGACGGTCACGCTCGCCGCGATCCTGCCTCTGCGCAACCATCATCTCAGCTGGAGAGGAGCGATGCCGCACCGCTATCCTCGACCTCAGCGACAGGAACACCGCCGCATCTTTCCGGCTCGTCGAAACGCTCGCTGTGCAGGCAATCGAGAACGGCACCGAGCGTATCGAAGCAGTGACCTCGACGCCGACGACCTTGTGCTTCCTCCGTCAGCATGAAGGCGTTAGCCCAGCGCCGTGGACGCGGGCGGGCGACGGCGCCGGCCGTGGCGGAGCGCTGCCGTTCGCGCCGCGTCCTCGTTCCGACGAGTTGCCGCTCATCCTCGCTCGGACGGACCGCGGCCTTCTACGATGTATCGGTCGCCGAGCTTCGAGGCAGAGCTACGGCAGCCGGTCCGAAGGCGCAGCGGATGTCCGCTGGGATCCGCACGAGGCGAGAAGGTCTTGGCCGGTCTTCGGGTCGCGTTGGATGTCGTGCTCAATCTCGGGTCAAGCGCCGCTGGCCGGCTGGCGGTGGACTGGTTGCCAAGCATCGACGGTTTCGGCCGAGCGCGAGCGAACTCGATCGCGCCTGCGCCGCTACTGCCTTGCCCGAAGCGCACGAGGCGGGCGGAGCTTACCCGACGCACGCAGGCGGCGCTGCCGATCGTCTTCTGTCACCAGCATCGCGCTTGGCGACAGGATTACTGTCGGCGTTTGTCATCGAGACACGCGCCGCGGTTCATCTGGTCAGATGGCATCGAGTTCGTGTGCGGCGGTGCGGCACCCGCTGGGAGCAAGCCGCTGGACGCAGCCGACACCAGCGGGCGTATTTCGAGCCGGAAGAGACGGCTGCGGCGCTTGCCGATCCTGTTTGCGTTTGACGGGGAGGTCCGCAAGGCGCTGCTCCGGGCATCCTGCATGCTTGCCGGGGATGGAGCCGGTGCCCGCCGCCAGTTCCTCACCGTGCTGCGCGATCTCACCCGGGCGCTGCTGGCGCCGAGCCTCTTCAGGACCAGTTACATTAACCGTCGATCGCCCCGTGCTGCCGATCATGCCGGAGCACAAACCACAGACACTCGACGAACAGCCCTACCGCGGAGCTTTTCGCCTTACGGCCGAGCTCACATTCTCAGCGCGGGTAGCGCTCCTCGCCGACGAGCCCGTCAGCC